GGTCGATTTCGGCTTCGCCAAATCGCATTGGCTAAGAGCCCATATCGAAAAACCTCTGATTGGCTCGATTTTGCATCCGTGAAATTCTATTGGCTAAGAGCCCATATCGGAAAAATGTCTGATTGGCTGGATTTGCTCGACGCGCAATCCCATTGGTTGATAGCCCATCTCGAAAAACCTCGGGTGAGACTGGAAGTCAATTTTTGTGTATATTTTCACAAGGAACTCTCCTGAAGGTTAAAAAAACATTTTTCCGTTCTGTGCGAACGAACGAACGAAGTTACGAACTTACGAAGTTACGAACATACGAACTTTGCTCGGTGTATGACCCTCCTTTCAGTAGAGGGAATAACTTTGTCTAGTTAAAATTGAAGTGTTTCAAAAACGTGTAAAAAATGTTTTCACATTTCAGATTCATACATTATGCAATGCCAAAGAAAAATGATGTAACAACGAATACTTCACAATCACTAGATTACGATGAGGGTGATGGTGAAACTAACAATAATGATGATGATATCAGTGATGAAGATTATGAATTCGAAAAAATGAGCCATATAAGACGACAGTCTCCTAGTCTATCACAAATTTTAATTGTATATCAATTGGTGGGGAAACGGGAATTTATTTTGAGTCGAAATGGAACGAAAAAATTTTACAATAAAGTACGTCAATATCAAGAACTATCTCAACTTGAAAAACAAGATGACATTAACTTTGGTTCACGAATGGAAAAATCGGCAGAGATTATATGTAAATTAGCTGCAATTTCATAAATCGTTAAAATTTCAATCGAGATATTAAAGTAAAATTTATTAATTCTATTTAATTTCTCATGAAATAAGTCAAAAAATATTATAACTAATTAACTTACTTACTAATAGAGAACTTCAAGAACAAAATCAACTTCAATATGATAATACAAATTTTATATTCATTCGTAATGCAGCACAAATAATTGAGACTAAATATTCATCTATCAACAACACATTGGAAATTGAAGCATCTAGTTGTCGTCTTGCAGGCATTCTTTTTTGTAATCTTTTAATAAAAATGTTGTTTGCTCTTTACAATGTTGAACCAGTATTAGCAAATGAAAAAACACCAATAATCGAATCAATATCTCGTAAACTATAATAATATTTTATGTAAGTAAATGTTCGCAACAATATAATTTAGTTCATTCAACAACAAAGCAAATTCGTAAAATTATCTTTAATATGCCACAGCTATTTTTCAAAAAACGAGATTTAACAGGCCCAATGGGTTTGCTTCGACATCATGCTACAGACATGGGTAACATAGTAATTGATGAATTAATCGAATATCAATTAATAAGACAAGGACGTAAGTTTTGATGAATCTATTTTTATTAATAATTTATTAAACTGTCATTTTACATATTGCTAATTTACTGTATAAAATTTTTTTACAATAGCATTTATAACAAACTCATCTCGAAGCATCATTCATATGAAATCTTATCCTTCACACAACATCTTAAATGATGCAATTAAACGAAGTATAATTGATCGAATTTTTACTGATATCAATATGAGCTTAACAACATACATGTCAATATTAACAAACAGTATCATAAAAGAAAAGCAAACATTAACAAACATAGGAAAAGAAATATTGCTGCAACCTGAACATAATTTTTTATACAATAGTTTGAAAAAAAAATATCCTGAACATTTCATACAAAGCAAGTTTTATTTTTTTTAAATAAACAAATACATTATTCTTTTGACACGCTCCTTACAATTAATATTTTTTAAATATAACATAAAGGGTTCGATATCCAATGAAACAAATATTGAACAAAATGTAAGTGATGCTTGATCAAATCATTCGAGATTGACTACTGAAAATACAAATACTATCAATATAAGTAAATCGTTAAATGCAATTAAAAATTAGTGTTAAAATTTCTTTATAGACAGTAAGTACTATGCAAAAACCAATTTTATATCATCAAAATAGTAATTTAATATCTAATCGGTCGAATACATCAAACACAAATGTACACTCGATTTCTCAAACTGAAACATCCGTTAATGTAACACATTTAATAAATACTAATCATACATCTCTATCTAATGTTGGCATACTTGGTTATCTGACGACTCATATTTAAAATTAGTATAACTCTGATTTTAATTTCATTTAAATTTAGATAATTCAAACGAACAACTTCAATCTAATCCTTATACTCTTACTAATAAAACTAACAATCACAAAAATTTACTTACATATAACATTTTAAATTCCCAATCACATGCTAACACAACTTTATATTCTACTGAAAAATTGACTAGTACTACAACAAACAACTTATTGGATCAAAACAGTCGTATCATATATCATAAAAACATTCATAACATGATTCAAACTTTTTAGGCAACCAAATCCAAGATGAAATAATCTTGGGTTCTATAAGTATATTTTGCAATACTATACTGTTAAAAGATTATTTTTTATTTTTTATTTTCATATACTCAACTGCTCTTACAGAGACAATCCTATCAAATAACATTGTAACCAACTCACAACAGTTAAATAATTTTCCTTCAACAATTAACTCTGATTTTCCAATATCACCAATCACTAGTATTTTATCGACAACTCACGTAACGACAGCACCAATATATCAGGTCTCATCGAGTACAAAAAATCACCAACCAGTTATAACATAAATATTAAACGAAGCTATTACTTCCACAACAACAAAAACAACGAACTGTGTTTCTACAAAATCTAATATCTTAGACAGCGATCCCATTTCTCATAACTCAAACGGTAAATCCTATTCTGAATATAAACAAGTTTCTCGAACTTGAAAATAATTTAAATAGTATTCTTTTTCTAAAACTGTACCTTGAGAAACATAAATTTTCTTTGCTTACGAACAATGAAAAAAATGTTTGACCGTTTTGAAACATTTGATTATATAAAAAAAATTAATAACATTCTCTCAAAACTTTAGCTACCAATAATATTGAACCTACAACAACACTTTCTCAAAATCAAGATAGTACAATGAATATATCTATTTCGAAAAACAAACGGAAAACTTCCAATGAAAATAATAAACCTAAACGTCGTTTTACAAAGAAAAAATGAATACAAAGACCACAATCATATATTAATGACAGCACATGGACTCATTTTAAAAATCGGATTGTCTTCTTAATTGAATAAAATAAATAAACTAATGTTATTTAATCATAAATAGAAAATGGATTGAAAAAATAAAATAAATCCAAAATACCTGTGTTTTTAAACAAACATTAAATAATGAAAACGTCAATATCTGAAACATTTAAGGCCACCCTCCTCCTCCCCTCAAAATTCGATCTCGGCCCAGGCACACTTGAATCGCATGAAACTTTCAGGATATGTTGAGACTGGTAAACCATGGTTATGGTAAAATTTTCAGCCCTATATCATGACGTTTGACAGAGATATTTACCGAACAAGGGTCAAAAATAGCATTTTGGTATCTCCAAGATTTCTCTGTAGGCCTTCATTTTATACATTAAAATTTTTTTTTGTTTGAAAGCTTGTGTCTAGGGCTAGCCCCTCTCGTGGCCCTTTTCTTTAAATTCTTACTTTTTAAGAAAAAAAGGGACGACAAATTTAATGACTCAAAAAACCCCTAAAAAAATAGCGCTGTTTTTATAGAGGTGTTTTCCTATACGAAAACAAAAAGGCTTTTTTAAAAAAAGGGCCACGAGGGGGCTAGCCCTAGACACAAGCTTTCAAACAAAAAAAAATATTTGACTTTATCTCTTACTGTGATAGAGTTCTGCTGGAGATACGTTGTTGGATCCATGTTCTGAGAAAAAGGAAAAATGATTTTTTGTTTTTTTCCAAAACAGCTTATTTTTCGAATAGGGGGTGAAGAAAATCTTCCAAAATTTTTGGAAAAAAAGAAGTGTCAAATAAAAATTTTTGCCGCATATGAAAGAGCAGATGACGGGCTATTTTCCCATGAATTTATCTCAATTTGGATGATTTTGGCGAAAAGTGACTTTTTTGAGGGGAGGGGTGGCCTTAAATAATGCTAATATATCAATCAGAACGTAACACTTCTATAGAACTATCCAGTGTTAGAAACATCGAAAAGTGTTTAAAGCCAATTCCATCTCAATTAAAAACACTAAGATTTAAACATAGACACACAGACAGATGTACAGAAATCATAATTATCAAATTATACACTGAATCCAAAAATTTCGATATCTGTAATCAGAAACAATAAAAGTTAGTTACGAAATTTAAATATCATAACACAAGAAAAGTATGCAAAACAAAATAACTGATACAAACCAACCAATAGTTCTATGTCATCCTGCTTTCAACTACTTAAAAAACACATCAACATCATGTATATTCGCAAACAAAATGTTCCAAGCACACATTTTATGTTCAAAGCATAACTATTGCAATGATTATTTCAACGGAAAAGGAAAATCTATCCATAAAAATTTTATTGAACGAAATTTTTCAAAAAAAAACTAAAATAATTATATTTTTCATCTTCCCATATCCTACCTACTACAGAACAGAGACCGACATCAGGACAGGACTGGCCTGTTCCCCTGACGCCCTGTCCTGTCCTGTCATGTTCTACATGGCAAGGTTTTTTTTCGTACTGCCCTGGTCGCACTGCAGGGCGACTATACCAGGGCCCAGGGCAGCACAGGGCGAGTTATTTTTCCCTGGTAAATCATTATTAATTCTCAAGTTATATTTTTTAGGCAAAATTTTTGAATCATTTGTACAGTTACATGAGGCGTCGCTGTAAGCTAATCACGTTTATATTTCATCCATTGTATATCTTAGTGACAATTTTTACGATTCATCTCGAGCTATCACTTGTTTCATCTGAACAGAATAGAAACAGAAAGAAGAACAAAGAAAGGATACAATAGCTAGATTATCTATCTTGATAGCAAAAACAAACTACCGTATAAGTCTGCTTTTTAAATTTCATTTATTACGTTGAACATTTTCACTTGTTTTTGTGGGTTTCATTTATATACTCAACGTTTTTCATTGTATATCTATTGATATTGACTAGTTGGTACTCTATTTTCATTGGAATATAGGCATTAGTATCTTGCAGCCTTTTTTTTTTAAATGATTTAAATAAAGTATGCATAATGAAAAGAAAAAGTGCCTTTAAATCTTCCTCAGGCTACGAATTTTGTTTTGGAACATAGAACCAATCTAAAACTCTTCAGCCGCCCTGTCCTGCCTTGTTTTGCCCAGCCCTGCTCTGAGGACAGAACAGGACAACGAAAAATTTCATGTATCAGTGCCAAGACAGCACATGGCAAAATAAATCAGGGCAACAGGACAGGACAAGGCAAAAAAAAAGTGTCCTGTGTCGGTCTCTGCTACACAAATACCACAAAAAAAACTTTGATTTAAACAAAAATATATAGAAAATATATGGTAAAAAATCTAGTAGTAATTTCATGTCCCGTTCTCTCAGTCACTTCGAGATATTCAACACAAGACATATTCGAGAAAAAATATAGGACGAAAATGAAATATAAAAAATGATTCAACGTCCCAAGTCCCCATCATTGAAAAAAAGAAATAGTAAGAGAAAATGTGAATTAAAGAAAATAAAATAGAGAAAAACTTTTCGAGAATAATTCTAGTGATATTTGATGTCTCGATGTTCCAGTCACTTCAAGATATTGAAGAAAAGACATATTCGTGAAAAAATATAGTAAGAAAATGATTCAACGCCCCGATA